TTTATTTTTCAGAGTAATGAAGTGGGTGTCCTAGCAACTTCTAAAGGTGATCAATTGATTTTATGGGTTTTTCTTGCTTGGACTATCATTCTGGACTCATGGATTATTTTCCATTGTTTGATTCCCTCCACTGCAGCTGTTATTCTTTTTTTTAATATTTATTTGGCTGTTCCAGGTCTTAGCTGCAGCACGCAGGGTTTTTAGTTGCAGCATATGGGATCTAGTTCCCTGACCAGGGATTGAACCTAGGCCCCCTGCACTGAGAGCTTGGAGTCTTAGCTACTGGATCACAGGGAAGTCCCTCGTTATTATTTTTGATGCTCAAACTACCCCATATTTGGCTCCTGTGTCCTTCTGACTCCACCCCAGGGGTCTTTTTTAGCCTCCTTGCTTCCAGATTAAAGATGTCACATTTTTAATGTTTGCTGCCTTAGACCTAAAATCACCTATTTACCTTAGAAAGGGGTTTCTTCAGTGGGAAAGGTACTTCAGTTCAGTTCAGTTGCTCAGTCATGTCCCACTCTTTGCGACCCCATGAATCGCAGCACGCCAGGCCTCCCTGTCCGTCACCAACTCCCGGAGTTTACTCAAACTCATGCCCATCGAGTCGGTGATGCCATCCAGCCATCTCATCCTCTGTCGTCCCCTTCTCCTCCTGCCCCCAAACCCTCCCAGCATCAGGGTCTTTTCCAATGAGTCAACTCTTCGCATGAGGTGGCCAAAGTACTGGAGTTTCAGCTTCATCATCAGTCCTTCCAATGAACACCCAGGTCTGATCTCCTTTAGGATGGACTGGTTGGATCTCCTTGCAGTCCAAGGGACTCTCAAGAGTCTTCTCCAACACCACAGTTCAAAAGTATCAATTTTTCGGCACTCAGCTTTCTTCACAGTCCTACTCTCACATCCATACATGACCGCTGGAAAAACCATAGCCTTGACCAGATGGACCTTGGTTGGCAAAGTAATGTCTTTACTTTTTAATATACGATCTAGGTTGGTCATAACTTTCCTTCCAAGGAGTAAGTGTCTTTTAATTTCATGGCTGCAGTCATCATCTGCACTGATTTTGGAGCCCAAAAACATAAAGTCTGACACTGTTTCTACTGTCTCCCCATCTATTTCCCATGAGGTGATGGAACCAGATGCCATGATCTTAGTTTTCTGAATGTTAAGCCTTAAGCCAACTTTTTCACTCTCCTCTTTCACTTTCATCAAGAGGCTTTTTAGTTCCTCTTCACTTTCTGCCATAAGGATGGTGTCATCTGCATATCTGAGGTTATTGATATTTCTCCCGGCAGTCTTGATTCCAGCTTGCGCTTCCTCCAGCCCAGCGTTTCTCATGATGTACTCTGCATATAAGTTAAATAAGCAGGGTGACAATATACAGCCTTGACGTACTCCTTTTCCTATTTGGAACCAGTCTGTTGTTCCATGTCCAGTTCTAACTGTTGCTTCCTGACCTGCATACAGGTTTCTCAAGAGGCAGGTCAGGTGGTCTGGTATTCCCATCTCTTTCAGAATTTTCCACAGTTTATTGTCATCCACACAGTCAAAGGCTTTGGCGTAGTCAATAAAGCAGAAATAGATGTTTTTCTGGAACTCTCTTGCTTTTTCAATGGTCCAGTAGATGCTGGCAATTTGATCTCTGGTTCCTCTGCCTTTTCTAAAACCAGCTTGAACATCTGGAAGTTCACGGTTCACTGAACCGCTGAAGCCTGGCTTGGAGAATTTTGAGCATTACTTTACTAGCGTGTGAGATGAGTGCAATTGTGCGGTAGTTTGAGCATTCTTTGGGATGCCCCAAACTGAGTGTTAAGGATACTCATTGCCACCTGATTGTCTTTACTTTTGATCCTTTTCAAAGTACAGAGTTAGGAAAGATTTCCTTTTCAAAGAGAAAATATAAGTTCATATTGATATTTCCTATTCAAGCAGAATATTATATGGTCTTAACTTCTTTAAGCATTCCCCTTCCTATACATTGCAAATTCTGGCTCCCATGGTATACCTGTATTAGTTTCAAATAATGATAAATATTCCCCACTACAAATGAAGGGTCCAAAGACTGTATTTTAAAGTCAGTTGAAATAATTATTTTATCTGTGTGAGAGATTAGTACCAACCTGACATATCACTAGGTGTGTTTCATATTTTTTAACCTCTTTTCAATCTTTAGTGAATTCTTATTTCTTTTTAAATAAAACATTTATATGGTTCCAAAGTCAAAATAGAGTACATTAAGAGACATCTAGCATAGAGAACTATATTCAATATCCTGTGATAAATCATAACAGGAAACACTATAAAAAAGAATATATAGATATGTATTACTGAATTACTTTGCTGTACAGTAGAAATTAACACAACATTGCAAATCAACTATAGTTTAAAGAAAAAAAAAGACATCTATATTCTATCCCTGTCCCTCCAAACCCTCCTCTGGGGTAATCATTTTTATCAGCTTGTTTTTTCAGTCTTTCAGTGTTTCTTTTGAAAACACAAGCTCATTCACATACATTGGCATACACACATTTTCCTCCCATTGCATACCCTTCTTGCATAGAAGGGAGGGACTCCACACACTGCCCTGCACTTTGGTTTTTATCACTTAATACAGACTAGACTAGACATCTCCCTTCAGACAGTGGAACCTTCCCTCGGTCCTTCTGCGCAGTTACGCATGATTTCACTCTATCAATGGACTATATGACTCACTCAGTTCTCTAATAGGAACCTCTGGGTTATTTCCAGTCATTCCTTAGTACAAACAGTGCCCCGATGCATGCCATGTATGATCTTTGCTTACTTGTCTTTGGGGTGGAGTCCTAGATAAGATCTGCCCAGTCAAAGGAAAGACGCCTAGAAGCTGTGCTAGATGGTGACAGATCCCCTGGCACGGGCAGTGTCAGCCGGGCTGCACTTCCAGTGCTCTCCTGAGATCTCACCTGAGGAAGAGCTGCATGAGCAAACTTTCAGGGTCTTGCCAGTTTGATATGTAGGACATGGGATCTTGGTGCAATTTTAAAATGCACTTCTCTTATCATTAGTGAGGTTAACATGTTTCATATATTTGGAGCAACACACTTCTTTTTTTGGACTGCTTTTGACCATTTGCCTACTGGATTATGGAACATTTTCATCTCAATTCTTAGTAGCTTTATACATCAGTGATATTAACCCTCTGTAACAGAATATGCTATGGTGTTACTTTTTTGGTATTGTTGTTTTGGCCATACAGGTCTTTATTTTAAGGCAGTCCAATGTATTGGCTTTGCCCCCTGATTCCTGCTGAATTCTGAGTCACTTAGAAAACTATCTCCTTCCCAGGTTAACAAGAACTAATCTATTTTTTCCATCTTCAGTTATATTTTAAGCACTGAATGGATTTCAATTCAACCAACACTTTCAAATCCTCCATTCATAGAAAATAAAATAGGTATTTCAGGACTCTGAATCCCAGCATTCTAAATGAGAACTTATTTTCCGGAAAAGCCTCATATGTTTATGCCCCAGATGTAGGGAAACACCATCCCATGGAGGGTACAAATATACCATGTCATTTAAGCAGTTCTGGCCATTTTGCACAACACGGCTAAACATTGTATTTATGTGAAGTAACAGACAAGTCACCCCATCCTGGCTCCTCAAAGTTGCATAGCCGTGTCTCCCCATGCTGCCAGCCACCTGTCACCCACCACCCCTATATTAGTTTGTCCCCTGAATTCTGCCCCAGGAACAGACTGTGACAGCAGGATGACAGCACTCCAGAAGCAGTAACAGTAACGTTTACGATGCACACGGAACTTTCACACACCTCTCTGAGCTAAAATGAACATTTAAACGTGAGCACATTTCCCCACCTGCCACAGCCCTTAATTCTTTGTCCTTCTCACACTTCACACTCAAGAAGCAGTCCAGTGTATCTGATGTTGTCCTTAGTGAACCCAACGAAAGGTCATTTTTCAGTGGCTGTTTGCTGGGGGTGGTCAGCACACGAAAAAGGTAAGGGGAGGGGGATTGCGGGTCTTAACAGGGGAAACAGATTAGCTTTCATATAGTAATTCTAGGATGGAAAGCTCTGGATTAAAATTACTCCAAGAATTTAGGAAAACAAAAATCTGCACTCTGACTGTACAAATGAACTGTTTAACTTGGGGGAATGGTCATTTCCAGAACAAGCACTCACCTCATCAAGGGGAATTATCAAGGTCTAAACAATAGATTTATCTCTGGCATGAATACTATCAGACTTGGCATTTGGCTTCACAGCCCTCAACTAATTGTAAATGAAATCAAACTGTGGGCAGGTAGACCCGATGGCAGCAGTGAGAAATGGTCAGTGTGGGAAAGAAACACAAATAAAAAAACTCTGAGAGGCTACAGCTGGGGCCAGTGAGTTCATCGTCTTTTAGTCTGTGTGTTACATGACTTTGCAAAAGAATCACTGCAGTTGGCAACAAGACACCACATGGGCAAGAGAGGGTAAGATTTCATCCTGAGCCCAGGGTTTAAGAAGTCAGTAAGATATGAAACAGATCTTTTAATCATTCCATCTTGAAAAGGCTGGCTTTCTCTTTACAAAGTTTGATGCCTAAAATAATGAAGGTTCCATTACAGTATTTGGAAAAATGTATAGACACGAAGATCTCATTCCTTCTGAATCATCAAGTGTACCTAAACAGGGTCTGTGAGGCAGGAAGCATGTTTAGTGTCTGTCAATCAAAGATCACTGAAAGTCTTTCCCAAGTGGTTTCCAGTGATACTTTAATATTGAACATTTTTCTCCAGAATATTTGCAAGGCTTTTCACAAAATGTTCACAGAGCCTTGCTATTCTAGTTTAAAAAAATCCAGTTATTCTCAAGAAAAAGGTTCCATAGCACACATTTCTACAGCTAAAGACCCCAGAAATCACAAATGAGAACACTCAGTGGCCTCATTTCTTCTCCCCTTTGTCTCTGACGGGATTCTGGAAAGCAGAGCTGAGACACGACTACTCACGGAACATGGTGTAAAACTGCTGTGGGTTCAGATTCCACTTGCCCCAGGGTGTCTTGTGGCCTTTCAACTGGGCATAGTTGGCATGGTTGAACTCTGGCTCTGTGCCAAATGAGTCCAGGATTCGGAGCATGCACCTGGAAGATAAAAGATGCCATGAGTAAAATAACAACCGTGACCCCAAAGTCAAAAGACCAAAAGCTCTACCCTCTCTCTCAGGAACTACCAAAGATGGACAAGTTCTTTAAGAAATGCCACTGGGCGGGAATCGAGAGGTCTTACACTAGCCTGGCTAGTAAACATCCCCAGGTGTGACTTTCCAGCCAGAGCCAACGCACAGCTCATACAATCTGCTTTGGACAAGTTGACTAATCACAGAAGATGCTCAAATATCAGTGAAATAAAAAGTTCCCTAAAGCTAGAACTGCAGAAGGCCATGGTCACTGCTGTGCCCCTAGCCAGGGCCGAGCATACAGTGTTGACTATTAATGAACAACTGTGGAAGAAAAGAATTGACATTTTTACAGGTTACTATGATATGAATGCTTATCTCTATCTCCCACCACCAGTCCCCCACCCCACCCCAGCAATTCATATACTGAAATCCTAAGGAGATGGTATTAGGAGGTGGGGCTTTGGGGAAGTGATAAGCTCATGAGGGCAGAGCCCTCATAAATAGGATTAGTGCCCTTATATAAGTGACTCTAGAGAACTCCAGAGCCCCTTCTACAGTATGAAGATACAATATGAAGTTTGCCACCTCACCTGACCATGCTGGCATCCTGATCTCAGACTTTCGGTCTCCCCAGTACGTGAGCAATGCATATCTACTATTTATAAGTCACCCAGGATTTGGTACAGCAGCCCAGCACCACTGAGACAGAGGTCTTATTCTGCTCAGAGCACAAAGTTTGCTCTCCTTCAACAATTATTCAAGATTTTCATCAACTGACTAGAGTACAAGATTTTTGGTAAAGCTTAGAATCTCACTCATTAGGCAGTCGTGATTTGCATGCATTTGATAGTAGCAGGACATTCTTGTTTTCTCCCAGAGCTCAAAATGAATTGAAACTGAAGATGTTTCATTTGGTTATTCCACCAAAGCCTTAGAACAGCACCAACCAAACCCAGTCTATTGCCTGATTCTGTGCGGTCTTCCAGCTAAGAATGGTCTTTACATTTTTAAATGGTTAAAAAGGAGGAATATTTTGTGATGTGAAAGTTACATGAAATTCAACTCTCAGTGTTCAAAAATGAAGTTTTATTTGAACTAGCCAAGCCTAGTTGTTTCTGTATGTCTACGGTTGATCACCTAGAGTAACAGTAAAGTTTGGTAGCTAAAATGGAGACCACATGGCCAAGCAAAGACTGAATTATTTATTACCTGGCTCTTTATAGATAAAGCCTTCTGATCATTGCTGTGGAGTACATAAAGAATGATCAATCAGAAGAAAGGAATCAATACTAAAACAGAATTTATTGATTTTGGTTACATTTATATCATCACTGATTTTCAAGACACTGATGTAAATTTAACTCATGACTCGCCAATGAAAACAGCACTATTTTCTGTACCTATTATTATTTCAGCACTATTATTATGCATTAATAATAATTCTGAATGGCTCTTACTGGACCAATAAGCATAACAGTAAAGAGGGATCAGAGCCCACATTTTAGAATCAGATGATGACAATAACTTTCAAGCATTTGATTCAGTTTCTTTCTTCCCTCCCCCACTAGTAGGAAGTCCATCTTTCAGTCAGTTTTATGTCAATGATGCAGAAAAAAAGAATGCAAAAACACCAGACTGAATTTTCCAGGAAGAGCAATATTAAGTTGTCATTTTAGTGTGATGACTTTCGCATCAGCATTATCTGTCTAGAGAAGGAAGAAAAGAAAGAGGGAAGGAAAGGTGGAAGGTGGGTGGGCCGTGACTACAAAGTAAAATACAAGCTGACCACAGAAACAGTGTCCTTCTTCCAGGTCCCCATAAGGCTCTCAAGGAACAAGGGATCAAGCTAATGGTAGAATTTATATGTACGTGTAACTGCATCACTCTGCTGTGCACTTGAAAGGAACACCACATTGTAAATCAACTATACTCCAGTAAAAAGAAAGAAAAGGAAAGAGCTGGGATGATGGCAGCTCTGCAGAAGGCCACACAGGAAGGCGGAAGACACACATTGACTTGTGGGACTGGGGAAGGTTCAGCTTCTGTGAGACGACCAGAGCTGGGAGTCAAAGGTGACAGCGCTCTGAGCAGGCGCAGCAGGGAGAAACCAGCCACCTCCTCACAGGAACCTTTGCCTTGAAGGCTTTGGCTGCCTACACTTGTTTGTAATGGACTCTAACACTCTCTAGCTTGTGATTCTATTTTTAACTTAGAGTTTTGCTGGAGTTATTTTATATTTGGATAATTAAAACAAACCCTGATGAGTAAAGACGCCTGGCAGGAGCCTCCCACTTGAAATCCTGGTCTAAATGTATGCTACGCGATGCTGGCTTCTACTCAGTGGAAGACTACAGAATGAATGATGATGGGATGTCTCTACAGTTGTCTCTAAACTTGTAGCTCTACATACTCAAAGCTTTGATCTGGGAATTGTCCTTTTTCTTTTCTTTTTGAGCTGATCTTGGTTTGTTTTACAAACCAGAGGCAAGAGACTGATCACTGTCTATGACAGGGGAGGTTGAACATTATAGTTTCCCCTCTTCAATCACTCTCTATATCTGTGTGTTTTGGAATTGGGTTTGTGTTGTTAATATTTATGTTGTTCCTCTAATGCCTTTTGTGTGTCTGGAGTGTCAGGAACAGACTGATGACTTTAAAAGATATTTGCCTCACTGCCCGAGGCAGCTGGCTTCCTAACAGGGATGGCTGCAGCAATGCCAAATGATTCCTGGAACATTCTCTCTGTGCTAAGCCCCACTATTACAAGATTGGATACTCACAACCTCCTTGCCAGGACCTTCTTTCTAATTTGGAGTTTGATATGAAACAGTGTATCTTGGACTATTTGCATCTCACTTTCCTGTGTGTCCTCAATGCCCAGCAAAGGCCTCACATGAAGCAAAACAGATATGAGTTTCGCAGTACCTAGCAGGACACTAGTCACATGTAGGTATTCAATACATGTTTAACTGAATGTCCTCAGTTCAATTCAGTTGCTCAGTTGTGTCCAACTCTTTGCGACCCCACGAACTGCAGCACACCCTGGGTTCCTACATAAATTGGACAGAATTTATACTTTTTCAAGATCAACAGGATTCATAAGTTTGTGTCTAAACAGAACATCAAATGATAAACTTTACATTTAACAGGATTCCCTATCATCTTCCATTACCCATGATTAATACAGGGAGCACCACTAATCTCTAATCTTTAAAAGGAAAAGGAATAGGCAAGAAACTTTCTAGAGAACCTGGTTGGCCTTTGGATGAGAATCTCAGATATATCACACCTCAAAGACACCAACGCTAAGTCCTAACAGACCTCCTGCCAGCTAATATCACTGACACAGATGATTTATTAAAGAATGGAGGGATAAACATTACACTCTCCCATAAAATCCCCTCTGAGATAGTGCCTTTTCATCCAACAAGAATCAAATACCCATCAGCAGTGACCATTTTAATAATAAAATCATCCTTTTTAATTGACCTAAATGCTACCACCGAGAATATATTTCCATCCAGACAGCCTTTCTTAATGATGAGAATATGTGAGTCCAGGGACTCTCAAAAAGGCCAGTTCCTTTGGCATGTTCATCAGATGCCTGTCACTCACAAAAGCCAGAGAAAAACAGCTCTGTCTTTCTTGTTTTTAATGCTGTTGCTAAAAAGAAAAAAACTTTATTCACTTATAAGGCCTATTAACCAAGGATAAAGATGGCTACTCCCAGATAACAGAGAACATTTATGATGGTCTGTGATTCATGAAGATTTGAAAAGAAAACAACAAACTACCATCCGGGACCAAACCCAGATTTATATATATATATTTTTTTAAAGAAATACAGGCACACCTCATTTTATGGTGCTTCACTTTTTGCATTTTGCAGATACTCATTCTTTTTTCAATTTTTAAATACAAATTAAAGGTTTGTGGTGACCTTGCACTGTCAGATGTTGGTTAGCAATTTTTAGTAACAACCTATTTAAAAGAGTTTGCTTTCCCTTTCCAGTTTTATTGAAAAATAATTGACACACAGCACAGAATGTTTCAAGTATATAGCATAATGATTTGACTTATATACAATGTGTAATGAATACCACAAGCTTAGTAAACAACCATCACTGTAGAGATACAAAATAAAATTTCTTTTCATTGTGATAAGAACTCCTGGGGCTTGATCTCTTAACCGTGTTCATAAGTAACACAGCAGTGTTAATAATATTTATCACATTGTATATTACATCCCTTACTTATCTCACAACTGCAAGTTTATACCTTTTGACTACTATCCCCCTACTCCTCCTCCCCCACTCCACACTTATTATAACCACAAACCTGACCTCTTTTTCCATGAGTTTTCCTGCATCTTTGTTCTTGAAGTATAATTGACCTACAACACTATGCCAGGTTCTGGCGTGCAACTTAGTGATTCCATATTTCTGTACGTTACAAAATGATCACCACGATAAGTCTAATTACCATCTGTTACCATATTACTGACTATATTCTCACACTGTGCATTTCATAACTGTGAAAGTATTTTTAAAATTAAGTATGTACATTTTTTTTACACATAATGGTGTTGCACACAGAGTATAGGGTAAACATAACTTTTATATGCACTAGGAAACCTCCCCACCAAAAAAAAAAACCTGTGGGACTCAATTTATTGTGGCATTCACCTTACGGCAGCTGGATTTGATGTGGATTCAAGTCGCCCTTCCTCCCGGAATGCTGGCAGCTATCACCTTGCTATGGGGGGGACTGGAGATGGAGGGGCTGGAGCTGAAGTTAGGGGTGAGGTGGGGCTTCCTCTGGGCTAGGCGGCCGTCACCTTCCTATGAGAGGTGATCTGATCCTAAGGTTCTGGAGCAGAAGTCCTGAGATTTCGGCTCAAGCTGGCTCTGCTCCTATCTATTTGGCTGCATGGGGACGTAGGTGCAGCACACAGGATCTTCGCTGCATCATTCGACATCTTCCGATGTGGTACGTGGACTCTCTAGTTGTGTCTCATGGGCTCAGCAGTTGTAGCATGCAGGCTTAGTTACTCTGCAGCCTATGGGATCTTAGTTCCCTGACCAAGGATTGAATGCATGTCCCTTGCCTTGCAAGATGGATTCTTTACCGCTGGGCCACCAGGAGGTCTCATCTGTTCCTGTTAAGTGTGTGCTCTTCCCTGTCCCAGCACTGAGACCCTCAGCCCAGAGTGCAGAGTGCTGAAGCAAGGGCAGAGGGTGCAGGCTCTCAGCTTGTCAGCCAGCCACAGAGATCCGAGCTGTCTCTGACATGCTCTCTGTGTGGGCACCAGCCACCGTTTCCCTTCCTCTACTGAGATGTAGTCTTGGGTCCAAGTACCTTCTGCCACTCACAGACTGCCTTTCGCCGCCCCCAATCTCCTCTGTCTCTGCCTATTTGTGGCATCGCTGGCAGCTGGAGCCTGTGTGCCCAGGTATTCAGGGTGAGCTGCCATCAGATCTGGGCTGCTTCTAATGCACTGTTTGAGTAAACTTCAACAATAGCCACTGCCGCCCACTCAGGTTCCATCCTGGCACCAGGTCGCCTCTGTGTCCCACTGTTTTGCCTCTCTCATGGTGGCCACCCTGGATCCAGGGCCAAGCTGTGATGTGGGGTAAGTGGGGCTGGAGCATTTAGTCAGCTAGGGCTGCACACACCGAGGCAGCTGCAGGAAGCCTCTGTTCATTCTCTCTGCCCTGCCTCATGGGCAAGCCCGGGCACACGTGCTCCTCACAAGCAGGGTCTAAGCTTCCCACAGCTCTCCTCTTAGAGCTGGTGGTCCATCAACGTAACAAGGGGGTTCATCTCTCCCGGGGAGGACCCCACGGCTCAGGGCCCCAGTCTGGCTCTCACCACTTCCCAGGGCAGCGCCCCTTTTCCAGAGCGCCCTCCCAGGGATCCCTGCCTGATCGCTTTTCCTTCCTTCCTCCCCGATTACATGTGGGTCTTTTTTACGGTCCTGGTCATACAGGACTCTTTCTGCAAGCTTCTGGTTAGTTTCCAATGAGAACTGTTCCATGTTTAGATGTATTCTGGATGTGTAAGCGGGGCTTAACAAGTTCCACATTCTCCTACTCCACCATTCTGATCAATCCTCCTATTATTCTTCATTAATAAGAATTACTAAAGTCAAACTGGATACTTTATTTTGTCTGCTGAACGCTGAGACTTACTGCTATTCCCATGCAAGTGTTAAAAGTAGTGTCGAGGGGGATATGTGTGTATTTGTGGCTAATTCACGTTGTTGTATGGCAGAAACCAACATAATATTATAAAGCAACTATCCTCCAATTAAAAAAAAGTAGTATCTGAGATACAGCAGCATCAAACTAAGCCTCTCTTAGAAAGACTGTAAGGAAACTGAAAAATTAATAAACTTCATTATACAATTAAATGTTATTTAGTGTCAGGCTTGTATACCATGTAAAACTGTTTCAAATATTAAGTCATGGTCTCAAACCCACAAATAGGGAAATAGTGAGATCTTCTACTAAATAATAAAAACTGTGCACAGATAACACTGAACTCAGGTCATACTAAGCATAAGGCTTATCTTTAAAAGTATAAGATTCTAGCATTTAGACAAGCTACACCCAGCTTTTTCTTCCAAGAATGATAACAATACTGACGGAGCAAAGGGACAAATGAGTCGTCATCTCAAATCTAAAGAACACAAGAAATGACACTGTCCACATTTTATCAAAATTGTTTTGATTAAACAGATGAGATTAGTGTATACAGACAGAGACACAAGCTAAGTGTTAGGGGAGGAAAAAAGAAGGCTGGACATTTGGTTTCTACTCTTAAATNTATCAAAATTGTTTTGATTAAACAGATGAGATTAGTGTATACAGACAGAGACACAAGCTAAGTGTTAGGGGAGGAAAAAAGAAGGCTGGACATTTGGTTTCTACTCTTAAATCAGTGAAACTAATGAAGAGTACTTGAAAGTCAAAAGACACCATGGAGAATCTGAACTTCAATTAGGAATGAGAAACACTCTACACAGTTCAAAAGATAATATTCGATAAGCCTTTTCTACTGGCAACCATGTAATTCTTGTTAACAAAATAACAAGCTCTAAAAATTTAAGAACAATATGGAGCACTTACTGGTAATGAACCCAGGATGGTCCAAGAGTTTTCTTGAATTGAGCGAGTCCTACAATATCAATATAAATGAGCTCAACGATTCGATCTCCTACAGTTGGGCAGCCAGATCGGTTTCCAACAACCTTCTTCATTATTCTAGAGAAAGAACAGAAATAAGAAAAAAAGAAAAGCAATTTACTATAAGCACTACACTTAACAACTTTAATAGGCTAAGAAACATCCCAAGAATCCTTAGGGAGAATGACATGGCTGTTCCCAGTCAGCTGCCTATCCAAATTCTGCTCAGTCATCAGGTCCATCCAAAGCCTCCATTCTGAGTCTTGCAAAAGCAAATGGTGGTATACAAATACAGCCTTAGAAACCAAAGAAGATCTGGGTCTCAGTCTATCTCTATTTAATTTGCTGGTCAAGAAGATTATGGAGGTCTTTAAGCATTGGTGAAAGGGCCAGATGTGTTATTTAAACAGATAACTGTGGAAGCAACATGGAGCAATGGTTCCCAAAAATGCCTGCACATTAGAATCACCTGGTGACCTTGGTGGATTTTTCCTAAGCCCAGGCCATATATATTCCAGACAACATAAATCACACTCTCCAATCTAGCAGCCATGAGATCTTAGGAAGTTAACTTCTCTGAATCTTTCCTCATCAAATACAAAACAAAAAGGATTAGATATGGAGAAGATGGTAAGACAGAAACCTCTCAGGAATTCTTTAGGTAGTTGAAATAAGTATTGAGAGGAAAGTACATATACTGGATACTCAGTACCTATCAGTTTCTCCCAGAGTCTGTTCTTATTATACAGCCCTTACTGACCTCCTTCCATTTCAATACAAGCCTCTACAGTACAAACTTCTTTCTATACCGCTCTGTACAGAAAATACTTTGGCCAAGAGAATGCACTATCATAGCAAACACCTTCTTTCAACAAAACAAGAGATGATTCTACAAATGAACATCAATAGATGTTCAATATCTATATCATACTGATTATATTCTTTGCAGCAAAAGATGGAGAAGCTCTATATAGTCAGCAAAAACAAGACTGGGAGCTGACTGTGGCTCAGATCATGAACTCCTTGTTGTCAAATTCAAACTTAAATTGAAGAAAGTAGGGAAAACCACTAGACCATTCAGGTATGACCTAAATCAAAACCCTTATGATTATACAGTTGAAGTAAGAAATAGATTTAAGGGACTAGATCTGATAGACAGAGTGCCTGATGAACTATGGACAGTGGTTCATGACATTATACAGGAGACAGGGATCAAGACCATCCCCAGGAAAAAGAAATGCAAAAAAAGCAACATGGCTGTCTGAGGGGGCCTTACATATAGCTGTGAAATGAAGAGAAGTGAAAAGCGAAGGAAAAAAGGAAATATATTCCCATTTGAATGCAGGGTTCCAAAGAACAGCAAGGAGAGATAAGAAAGCCTTCCTCAGCAATCAATGCAAAGAAATAGAGGAGAACAATAGAATGGAAAAGACTAGAGATCTCTTCAAGAAAATTAGAGATACCAAGGGAATATTTCATGCAAAGATGGGCTCAATAAAGGACAGAAATGGTATGGACCTAACAGAAGCAGAAGATAT